GTGTGGCAGGGATCAGAGGGTGCTAAGCAAGGAGAGCAGGCACCGGGGGAGTGAGGTCTTCCGTTAGCCTGGAAGCAGTGTCCCCCACATCCCGGTGCATCGGTCCGCTTGCTTCTCAGCATGACATGGGCTTACTTTGGCTCCTTTTGTCCCCAATAAATTTGGGCAGTTACTCCACTAACCCACCTGGTGTGCAGGTCTCCATTTCCCAAACTTCCCCCCTAACAAACAGCAGTTCTTGCCCCCGGGTTCATTTATTCCTTCATTCATTCACAGCAGTGTCTTGTAAGCCCCTGGCAATATTCTGAGCACTGGGAGACACATCCATGGGTAAAAAACAATCCCTTCCCTCGCGGAGCTTACATTCTGCTCGGACTTTTATCTCACAGTCCAGCGTTTGCTGGCCGGGCCCCCTTTCTCGGGTGGCTGGGCCCTGCCCGGAGTGCTGAGCCCCACAGCAGAAAGACAAACAGTTTCGATCATTTCCAACTCCGCTTGAGCCCACTTTCAGCAAAAGAGGTTCTGCCAGGAAATACTCTACTGGTGCCCTTCATCTTCTACCTTGGAATCGAATGTTCTTCCCCCAGCCTCCTGAGCTGGGGTGGATGGGTCTCTGGAACAGGTGCTTTGACTCAATAATCAGTTCAGTCTTGAGGAGTTTACACATTCGGCAACTTCAGCTGCCACCTCAAAGCTGATGACTTCTAAGCTATCAATATCTACCCCAGGCCTAGTCTCTCAACTCTAGGCTCACCAGAGGAACACACTTTTCACCTGGCCCTCGAGGCCCGCTGCCCCACCTCCACCCTCCGTCTTCCCAGTGTGGTCCCCGGCCCCCGGCCCCAGACCTCCGCCCCAGCCCCCAGTGCTCACTGAGCCCAGCACTGCGCTGTCAGCCTCACTGTTCATTCCTGCAAGGAGGAGAGCCTCCTGCTCGAACAGCCCCTCTGGCCCCCAGAGGAGAGGAATTGAAACTGCTTTCTAGAGTCAGTGAGACGGGGGTCGAACCAGAGGCCTGTGTGCTGGCCTCAGACTCAAGTGGGCTTCAGATTCTGGCCGGCGATGGGACCGCAACTTTGTGGGAGGTTCATCACAAGTGAGTCCAGCCTAATACGGTGTCCATCTGGTTCTCATGAGACTTTTGCCACCAGTCCCAGAAGCTGTCGGTGTCACTTGCAGATACTCAGAGGCGGCCAGACAGCGTCCTTCGTGGGGTGTGGTGGGTCCCCTGGCCTGCTCACTGAGCAGCTCTCTTCTTGGGTGGAAGCCCACTCCCACTGCCAGCGGCTGCAGTGCCCTCACATGTGCCCCACGTGGTGACTGTCTGCTGGGCCGCCCTCAGTGCCAGCCTCACGTACCTTTAGCTCTGGATTTCTTAATTCGTGTCTGTTCGTAACTGGCCCTTTGTAATTTTCTATAGTTTGAGTTGAGTGTTTCATTAATTTGAAATTCATTCTCATGAACTAGAGCTAGTCTGTATCAGTGTTACCATTACTGATAGACAATAGACATTGGTTATCTTCTGTCTGTCAGCTAAGTAGTAACATGGACACATTTGCAACTCATTCCATTATACATAGAAGAGCCCATAAATTAGCTGAGTTAACATACAGACATTTTGGGATTTGTCAGTTGGTTATTTCTCCTGGAGTTTGTTGTCCAAGCCCAGGTAAAATCTTTTCACCCCAGTATTGGCCAGATGTGCCTGGGAGAAGCCCTGCTCCACACTCTCCTTATTCCTCCTCCTAAGTTACACCACGTTTGGGAGGGCAGTTCTCCCCTTTCTCCCCTCCGAAGCAGTGTCTGCCGGTGCCTCGGGCGGAGTTGACGCTCGCCGGCGCTCAGTCGGAAGGCCCCGCACTGCCGGACTCAGTGCTACAGAGCGGTAGCCTGTGAGGGGAGGAACGACCATGGGACTGGATAACCATCCCCAGATCAGCCCAGGATTTTTTTTTAAGTGTGTGTAAATGCTTCCCTGCTATCTGTGACAGGATCTTGAAACCAGTTTACGTTCTGTCTGCACAGCCCTCCCCCCGCAGACCGGACTGAGCTACTAGCAGGGACTCCCGCACCCTGACCCGCATCCGACCCGCCTCGCCTGCCCACTGGGCTCCCCATCATCTCCCGTCACCCACCCATTCAGAGGTTTCACGTGGTCTTTTAAAGAATTCTTTCTAATGTGCTATGAAGCTATTTGATTTCTAACTGCACTAAACTTTCTGGAGCCGTGCCAGGTGCTTTGCTAGAGTTTCTGATGCTATCTGCGTAGTCTTTGGGTGGAAGGGGGGAAACTCCGTTGAACTTTTGTGGTAATAAAATCATTGCAGTTGAGCCCGCATCTGTCGCCAAACTGCCCGTGGGCTTTCACCGGGTCACATGACCGACAGCAGAGACAGTCTTTAAAGCTTTCAGTCTGCTTGTTCCACTGGCGTCCCAACCCCCGAATGAGACCTCTGCTTGGTCTCTGGGCCAGCGTCCGGATGTCCCACTGTGGCAGGTTGACTCACTGGAGCTGATAAAAATGTGCTGGCCAAACTCGAGAGTCTAGCATTACCTCTGTCTCCAAAAATCCAAACAGCAGGATTGTCGTGAGTAGCTTTGGGTTGAGACCGAGCTCCAAGCCCGCGAGATGGATTTCCTCTCCTTGTGGCGCTGCCTCACAGGACAACTGACTTGGAAAGAGAGGAAGCCAGCGCCCTGGCGTCTGCTAGCTCAGTTCAGATGGATTCTCGCCCTAACTGTTACGTCAAAGCCCCATCCCCCGGAGGCCCGTCCCCCACTGTCCCTGACTTCAGGGCTCCTCAAGCACATCCACCCAGTAGTCACTGCCTAGAGCCCAGAGGGGCCTGAGCGTTGGAGAGAAGGTGGGTAGGGAGGCGCTGGGCGGTCAGAGCCGGGAAAGCCTGGGACTGCCGGGCAGCCTGGGCCCTGGGCGGCCGGGAGCGCTTCGTTGGCTGAGTCAGAAGTGCAGACACTTGTGTGAGGAAGCTGGACCTGCCTCGCCGTCACGGGATGCCATTCTCGTTCCCCACAGGCCTGAGGAGGAACATCAAGGAAAGAGGGGCTTTTCCAAGGTTGTTGATCTGACATTCAGACGGACATTTCTTGGACTGGATCCTGGTGAAATGTGTCCCCAATGCCATGAGTGCTAAATAAAACCTTTTTCCTTTGTTCTCCTCCTTAGTTCTCAGACTTTATGACATATTAGAGGAGCGAATATATTTTTTTAATGTCTATTTAAATCTCAGGCCATGCTGGCCCTCTCTCTAGACTCGGTGGACTCGGGAGGGATCGGATGAAATGCACCACTACAGCTCTGCAGAGGCCTCATTCACACTCGGTCTGCTTGACTGAATGGTGTTTTCTAAATGCTTTTATGATGCTTGCCTATTATTCACCCTCTTAAAATGTTCCCAGCACCCTCTTAAAAACAACTCACCACAGGAAAAAGGAAGCTCTTTACTCTGTGCCATGTAGCAGGTCCTAGAGAACGTGCTCTTGTTGTTCTTGCCTTTTATGCTTTATCCCCTTTTCTGAGCCTTTTAAGTGCTGATGAAAAGTTCTAAGCAAACAGCCCAAGAAATAATATCTTGGAGCTCACCGGTCCCCTGGAAGAGAGGGGAGCTGGCGCTGTCGCTTCAGGGCCGTGCAGGGGCCACCTGCCGCCCCGTGTGCACTGGCTCTCGGGTTCACTGTGTTCGGTGGAACACACGCACTCGGAGACATAACCCGGGCACCCAGTCTGCACAGGCCGGCACTGCGCCAGGAACCTCAGAACCTCAGCCCACTTAGCCCCGGGCTCGGGACACAGAGCAGTGCAGCTATGGCCTCCCGTGTGTCTTCGTTTTAAGCAGTTGGGAGTCTTGGACTTTAAAACCATCTACTGTCAACCCAGAGGACAGTTCAGGAACCTTCAAGTATTTCCCCTGTCCCCTGAGATTGCCACCAGCTGAAGTCTGGCTAAGTAGAAACCAGCAAATGACTGACTTCAGAGTTGCCACTGAACCCAGGCCCAGCCCATTCAGTCCTTTCTCCAGGCAGAGCCCAGGGGGTGTGGCAGAGAATGCAGATGTTTAGGTCTTCCTGGGTCACCTCATGACACCACACCCAGTCACAAGTGGAGGGAGCTCAGATGTCCTTCGTTTTATACAGGCCTGGGGAGATGCTGGGACTAGTCCCAACTGCCCGGCCTGCTGGTAGCTGAGTCAGGACAGAGCCAAGGCCTCCTGCCCCTCAACCTGGGGCCACCTGGACTCCTGGGCTGCAGCAGGGACCCGGAGATCAGCCAGCGAGGAAAGTCAGGCTCTGACTCAGTGGTCGGGGCACACCGAGGCAGTGTGTGAAGCTCGTTGTGCTCAAGAGCCACGGAAGCCTCGTGTCCGTCCTGGCCACCAGCCTTTTTAAAGACGCACACCCGCTCTGTCCCTCCTCGGCGTGTTGTTTGCCCTCTGCAGCCTTGGCTTTCTCGCTCACACAGCAGACCTGAGAACGCCTGTGTCGCGGGCTCTTATGCAGATGCGAGGTCTCCCTCCTCTGCTCGGCCCCTGCTCCTCTCAATACGCTGGCATTTGCTGGCCGGTGCCCTGGCGGGTGCGTGCCCTTCCTGCAAGGAGTTCTGTGTTCCCGGGTCCTGTGGACGCCAGACCGTGGAAAGCCCCAGAGCGCTCAGGCCCCAGGACCAGCTACGGGAGGTGGGCTCCCTGCTCACTGCCCCACCACTTAGGACCTGCTGCTGCTCTTGCATGGAACTGTGGGAATATAAATTAGTCCTTTGTAGCCCTGGCTGGGTGGCTCAGTGGGATGGGTGCTGGCCTGAGAACTGAAAGGTCGCCTGTTCAATTCCCAGTCAGGGCACATGCCTGGGTTGTGGGCCAGGTTCCCAGCTGGGGATGTGCGAGAAGCAACCAATTGATGTTTCTCTCCTTCTCTTCTCCCTCCCTTCCCCTCTCTCTAAAAAATAAAATCTTTAAATAAATAAAATTGTCTTGGTTTTGTTGCAGAAATTTCCAGAATTGAAGTTCAAATATGTGGAAGAGGAGCAGCCTGAGGAGTTTTTTATCCCCTATGTCTGGTCTCTGGTCTACAACTCCGCCGTGGGCCTGCGCTGGAACCCCCAGGACATCCAGCTGTTCACGGTGGACTCCGACTGAGGGGGGCGCTGTCGCCCACCCGACCCCAGCCGAGCAGCCCTCCTCACCATTTTCTTTCTGGGGAACAGACCCCGGCGGACTGCCTGGTGTGCCTTCTGTGAGAGGATCACACAGGCGTGTTTCCCTTGCACACTTGGATGCGGGGAATCGGGGCCAGTCTGCAATAGACACTTGGCTTAGGTTGTAGGGCGGGGATGAGGGGGCGTGGCCATGCAGCAGTAATAAATGCTACACCCTGCTTCCCACGTGCAGTTTCCATTCTTTCTACACCAAAATCTAGAGCTTCCCCAGGAGCCCGACGCCTCAGGCACACGACACTTCACGGGTCACACTACGGTTTTGGCACGTTCAAGATGTTCGCTTCAGTCTCGCGTGTGTGTGTGTCTGTCTGTCTTTCAACACCGAGAAATACCAGTCTGAGACGACGAGGCAGGACTTCGTAAGGAGAGGAAGCCATGAGTGCGGCGTGGCCGCCTTGCAGAGGGCCCCGGATTTCACAGACGCCCGCCGGGCAGCGTCCGTGGCCTTCAGGGCCTCGCATCTTCCCTGAAGGCAGGAAGCGGCTCCTAGCGAAGCCCCGGTTCACTTCCCTGCAGGTTTGGCCTCTGTGCTGTGGCTCAGTTAAATTGCAGCCTAGTACAAATTAAGTTAATCTACTTTGTATTAATCGTTAGGAAAAGAAAAGCTTCGTTTTGAGAGCAATTTATTTTTCTTCAATTAGACACGAGATGAAAACCATGTTTTTTTTCATTTCTGACTTCATGTAAACTCCCTGGGGCCTCGGCTGCCACATCTGAGCCCCGAGCGGCAGGAAGGGGCTTCTCCGAGGGGACCGGCCCGAGTGGCACTGAGGGCAGTGGGACCGTCCTGTCACGTGTACTCCACGTCCACAGTTCCCCCTTCACAGCCGAGATGAGCTAGTTTCACTCACAAACACAGAGAGTGTGTTCTGCCTGTGAGACTAAGCCCCGGTGTCACCCTGGTGTCACACCTCTGTCAGGACCTTGCGTCTCTGCCATCCTCGGCCCCACCGCGCGCCGGGAAAGGTGAAAGCCTGCTGGTGCACCTGCAGGTCCAAGCGGCCCCCCACCAGCCCCCCTTGGTCTCATCACTCTCTGACCAGCACTGAAGCCAAAGCGCCCCGTGTGTCGAAATGATCTAGAGCTCTCATCTATTTCTGGAGCATTTTGACTCGCTTCCTTTAAAGCAGAACACAATTATCCAAGGGACACACGAAGCAACTGAGCCTCCGGTGGGACCTCAGAACTGTCCTCAGAGGCTAAAGGCCAGGCGGGGCTGTCAGCGCCCCAAAGCCCCAATCCCCAGCAGTCCCTTCTTTCCCGACACGCTCCCCTCTCTCAAAGAACCACGCAGCGTAAGTGCTCACCGGCCTGAACGCTCAGCCGGGGCTACTGCCTCAGCCCCCAGACGCCCCTCATTCCTGCTCGGCTCTACAAACCTGCCAGGCATCGCTTATTGTTGTGAAAGATTTACTACATGACAATAAATTCAAATGATATACTTGACTGATGTTTGTATTAATTTGCTTAGATTTTTTTTCATTTTCTACAAAGTAAAAATGTGTAGAATGAGACTACACAGGCCTGTCATGTGTCTGGAGGGAAATGAACATCTGATTTCATGCCCGATATGAAGCTATGATTGCAGTGTGTCAACTTATCAACAACATTAATTTTTAAAAGAATGTGCCCCATTCAAGAGTTCAAGGCACTGTGCATAACAGCTCCAGATTTGTGACTCGTTTGCACCATCGTCCATCGAGGCTTGTGTCCTGGGACGCGTTCACAGCAGCCTCGCCCCGTGGGCATCTCAGGACGGCCACCCTTTAGCAGTGCAGACAGAAGCGGGGGTAGGAGGCAGCTCAAGGACAAGGACAGAAAGGAAAGAAAAGAAGGTCCCTAAAGGTGAAGCACAGAAAGTGCACCACACACAGCTCTCTCCTTCAAAGGAAATTGCAGGAGCTGGAAAAGCAAATGGTGGGAAGGACCAGCATCCATTGGAGCAGCGACCTCCCCCAGCTCGTGCACCCATGAGAAGTGTTTAGAGGGGGATGCCTTCAGGTGCTAATTTCTCACATCGTTCTTTAGGCGACAGTGCCCTTCAGGTTCTGGGGCACCAGGGCTCTCTGCCTTTGGCACTGAAGCTCTGTGTGTAGCCGAGTCACTCTGTGTTCCTTCCTAGAACCATAAATTAGAGTTGTGGTACTTGCTGACTCTTTATAGGCTTGAGCATGCAAGGTCAACTCTCTGGGTCATAATTTCCTCCAGGCACCAAGCCTGCAATTTCAGTAGCTGCCATCTGATATTAGGGACTGATCCTCAGGCTTTCTGACGCCAAGTTCAGGGTCGATCTGGCATCTGAGTTGCCTCCAGGAGTGGGGGTCAAGGTTGCTGTCCTCTGATGAAGAGCCAAGTGTCCTCAATGTGAAAAGCTCAGAAATGGATCACAGCACACAATTCACAGCCAATAATTCAGTTTTGTTTTTTAAGAACTCAAAAGCATAAAATTTAATCTCATTAGGGTATAGCCATTTGGGGTCCCCTGTCCAAAACAAGGGAGATTCATTGGCCCCTCCCCACCCCCTTGGTCAGGTCATGGAAGGCAGCTTCTGCTCTCCTGACTCCCCAAGGCTGTCAAAAGTGCCGGCCACTCTACCTCTGGAGTTCAAAAGGCCCGCAGAGGGAAAGCAGTCCCGTGGGACTGACCAGACAATACGCTACCACCCTGTTGGCTTCGGGACCACTTCAAACAAAAGCGTAAATACTTTGGCCACGTTCCCGAGGTGTCCTTAGCCAGAGGGTTGGTTGGGTGACCTCGTCCTCTGTTACTATCAGTAGACCATCCTTCACGGACCGTGTGACCCCACTGCTAAGTCAGTTCAGTCCTTGAATGCCGAACATGAACTTGGCATCTGTAAAACCAGATGACGAAAGTGTCCCAGGCGCCTAGCACACGTGCACTGTCTTGGGAGGAAGCACACCATGACGAACCAAGTGTTTTCATACCCCACCCCGACTCATACTGAGCCCTAACCTGCAGCAGGGTGGCATTAGGAAGTGGGGCCTTTGGAGTAATCAGGGTTAGATGGGGTCATGAGGGTGGAGCCCTCACCAGGGGAGTAGTGCCCTTGTAAGAGAAGACAGGGAAGGGATGTCTCTTTCCACCATCCTCTGTAAGCCAGGAGGAGGGCTCTTACCGGGAGCCAAATCATCCAGCCTCCAGAACTGTGAGAAGTATATGTCTGTTGTCTAAACCAGCCAGGCGGTGGGGTTTTGCTATGGCTGCCAAGTTGACTAAGACATGAGTATTACCCAAGCCCTCAGATTATTTCTACAATGTTCCAATCAGAAATATCCAGGTGTACCAGGTAATATGAACTAAAACAACCAGAGAGAAAAAACATACAGCATTTGCAGATGGTCACAGAACTTGAAACAGCTACACTTTCTGTGTTCGAAGAAAAAAGTGACCAAGGGGCCCTGGCTGGTGTAACTCAGTGGATTGAGCGTGGGCCTGCGAACCAAAGGATTGCAGTTCATTTCCTAGTCAGGAACTGACGTGCCTGGGTTGCAGGCCAGTTCCCAGCAGGGGACACATGAGAAGCAACTATACACTGATGTTTCTCTCCCTCTCTCCTCCCTTCCCTTCTAAAGATAAATATATTTAAAAAAAAAGAAGAAAGTGACCAAGGATATCAGAAAATTAGAACCTGTGAAAAGGGACCACATTCCAGAACTAAAACATACCATAAGAATTAAGAATAACTCAGTGCTTGGATTCAAGAACAGATTACTCACCATTGAAAAGAGCATGAGTAAGATGAAAAATCAGAGACAAACAGAGTCAAAAAGTGAATAGAGAGGGTAAGAGACAGGAAGGACACAGAATGTCCGACCAAAAATGTAGCTGGAACCCTGAAAGAGGAACAGGATGGGATGTTTCCCCAAGTGCTGGCTGGAAGCTTGGCCAAAACTCACACAAGTTACTGAGCCATAAATTCAGGGAGCCCCAACACATCTCAAGTGTGACAAAACAAACAATTTACACCAAACACATCCTAGTCAAACCATGGAAAACCAAAAAAAAGGAAAAATTGGGGGGGGGGGCAAGGAAGAAGGAAGTATAAGGGAACTAAACGGTAATGGAAAAAATGCAGACTTCCGCCAAGATGGAGGTATAGGTGGATGTGCCGTGCCTTCTCACACAACCAAGTTTAGGGACAACTAAATATTAGCATCAGAAAACACAGCCAGAACACAGAAAATTGAACTTTTCGGAAGTCCGTTAACAACAAATTCTTCAGCCCGACCGGTAAGGGGCGAAACCGGCGTCTCGTGAGGGGTTGCACAGGAGGACTCCGGTCGGACGGACCCTGGCGCGGAATCCAGATGCGCGAATCCAGACGCACGGGTTCCAAACCCAGGATTGGACCTAGTGAGCGACCGAGCAACCCACCGGGTGAGCGACTGCTGAGGAGACAGTGGGGAGGCCGTGCTGCGTGTTGACTGCGGTTGCCTACCTGCGGGCAAGCAGACAGGCGAAGGAGTGGGCGGTTGGACCGGGGCCCGGCGGTCCCCGTGGCATGCGGCAGTAGAGGCGCCGCCATTTCCCCGCTCTGACCACGCCCCCACATACAGCGTCACAACCCAGCGACCTGGGAGTCCAAGGCGCCGCTTCTCACATTTAAAGGGCCAGAACAGACCAAAAATGTCGCAGGAAGACCTCAAAGCCCCAGAGATAAATCTAAGCGACAAAGAAATAGCAAAACTCTCAGACGCACAGTTTAAAACACTGGTCAGGACTTCCGCCAAGATGGAGACGTAGATGGAGGATCCACCTCGCCTCTGTGCACAACCAAATCTAAGAACAACTATTTTTAACAGCAGTCACAACCAAGCCACACGGAAAATCGACAATACGGAGTCCAAAGGACAACTAGATACTCGGCTGGACCGGTACAAGGAGCGAGGCCAGCAGCGGAGCAGGTTAGCAAGAAAAAAATTCCCGGGGTGGTGCGCAGTGCGCGCAGGCAACCGAGGGTGCTGATCGCCAGCGAGCTGGCTGCCGGGAGCGCACAGGGAAGAGGCGCGCATTTACGTGCGGAGAAACCAGTGAGAAGGGAAAACCGCGCGGTGCAGCAGGCTCACACAATTAGGATCGGATAAACAAGCCTGAGGCGTGTGAGTGACTGGAAGCGCTGGGCTAGCGGAGAGGAACGCCATTG